TAAGCATGCCTGCAGGTTGTCCCTGGACTTAGTTCTCAACTTATTACACTTGGGACCAGTTTTGATCAGTAAGTGATATAGTCATTAGATGAGTCCATCCCATGACCAGACCCAATTTTACAACCATTTTCACCTCATCAAGTGAATCGGTGTCGTCATTAAGTGAATCATATAGTTGAGGTCATTGCACAGAGCCTAGAGAAGAGTGGGCCTGGCCACAGCTCAGGCTGTCAATATGTAGAATTTTTGCATAGCAGGAGAAGAGGAGAAACATATAACAGTTCACTTAGCGACTATTCAAAGGTTACAACGGTACTGAAAAAAGTGACTTATGACCATTTTTCACACTTATGACCTTTGCCGCATCCCGGTGGCCACATGATCTATATTTGGATGCTTGACAATTGACTCACACTTATAACAGCTGCAGTGTCCTGGGGTCATGCAATCACCCTTTGTAACCTGAAAAGTGAAGTCAATGAGGAAAGCAGATTCAGCAGTGTTACTAATTTAATAACTGCAGGGATTCACTTAACAAATATGGCAAGAAAGTCAAAAATTAGAGCAAAACTCACTTAACAAATTTCTCACATAGAATAGAGTAGAGTAGAGTTGAGCAGAGCAGAACAGGACAGAATAAAGTAAAAACTTTATTGTCACTTTAAATGTACACTAATCAGCATACATTAAAATGAAATTTCATTGCATTCAGCTCTCAAAGGATAGCCATCCTGCCTATGCCCACATACACACTCATACAGTATATTACGCAGAGGAACATCACAATCTTAATGTATACCTATACATGGCAAAATAAAAGAATCCTGCAAGTTTACAAGATGGAGAGTGTAAGGAACAAAGCTGTTACAGCATCTGGCAGTCCTGCTATACTGTATTTCCCTAAAACTTAGACAGGGTCTTATTTTCTTTTGACAACCCCCCCCCCCCCCCGAAATAAGCACTTGGCCTTATTTTCTGGGAGGTCTTATTATTTTTGAGGTGCAGGAGGCAAGGAGTGTGGTCACCTCATGGCTGCTGCTGTGTTGCAATATTTTCAGGGAGGGCTTATTTTAGTGCATGCGCTCAAAAGCCCAATTGGGCTTATTATCTTATTTTGGGGGAAGCAGGGTAGATACTTCGAAACCTCTTGCCAGAGGGTAGCAACAGAAATGAAGTGACATGGCTGTGTGGGGTCTCTAACAATGCTTCGAGTTTGAACAGAAACAAGATTAAAAGTAATTAAATCCAATGTGTGCAGGAATCCACAAAGTCATTAACTGGCCAACCGGAGCTGATGCAAAGCATCAAAATGAATCAGCAGGACAGGGGAGGCCCATGGAGGCATTTTGCTGGGTGGGGGAGGAATCACTCCATGGAAAGAGTAGCAGGACACCTGGCAGCTTTCAAGTCTGTTTTCAGCTATCCTGGGCAATGTTTCTCAACTGGCCAGGGAGATTATTCTGGTCACATCCACAGCGGCCGAGAGATTTATTGACTGCTCTCTTCTCCATCACAATCCTGCAGAATTTTTTTCCCCAAGCTTCACAGCACAAAACTGGCAAGAGAAAGGACAGGAGTGGGAAAAAAGAGAATAAGAGGAAGACAATCTCAATTGTGTGGTAAATTAACTCTTTCCATTTGTCCAGGGTACAGTGTGGCAGAAAAAGGCATTGGAGGTCAGGAAAACAGAAATGAATGAATTGTTGGTTGTTGGGGGGGGGGGGGATTTTTGTCAGAGCAAGGCAGGCTGAAGACAACGTATGACTGTGATGGCAAACCTATGGCACACATGAGCCATTTTTGAGGGCATGCTAGGCGTTGCCCTATCAGCTCCGGAACGCATGCATCAGTGGTGGGTCTCAAAAATATTTAGAACCTCTTCTGTAGGTGTGGCCTGCTTTGTGGGAGTTGCTTGCCGGCCATGTGACCAGGTGGGAGTGGCTTGGCAGTCATGTGACTGTATGGGCATGGCCAACTTGCAAAATGTGGTGAAACTCACTTAACAAAGCTCTTGCTTAGCAATCAAAATGTTGGCTCAGAAACTCTGGCATTTGAAGCACGCAAGTCTTAAAGCTGTCAAGTTACAAGACCCTTGCACCCCTCACCCTTTAGGAAAAAATCCAGGGGTGTTCAAACTTGACAGCTTTAAGACTTGTGGACTTCAACTCCCAGAATTCCTCCTCTTGCTCTTCATCTTGATGATGTGCGGACTGGCTGGGGGAGGGAGCTGGAACCGGTTCTAAACGGCACTGTAGATTTGTGGAACCTCTTCTATAGAAGAGGTTAGAACTGGCAGGAACCCACCCCTGGCATGCATGCACTGGCAAGCTGATTTTCGGCCTTGATTTTCAGCCAAGAAAAACGGCCCAACGGGCAACCCGGAAGTCCATTCCCGAACTTTTGGTTTGTGCGTTGGGCTGTTTTTTGCCCTCCGCAGGCTTCAGGAGGCTTCCACCAGAAGTTTGGGAACGAACTTCCAGGTTGCCCGCTGGGCCATTTTTCTCCCTCTGGAGGCTTCAGGAGGCTTTCCTGAAGCCTGCAGAGGGAGAAAAATGGTCCAACGCACCTCCCGGAAGTCTGGAGGCTTCAGTGAGCCCGCTAGGCATGCCTGGGTGGATTGTGCATACATGCATGGGGGGAGGGCATTGCATTATGGGTGTGGGGCAGGACCCCTCCCACTCGCCCCGCTTTTGGCACACCTCGACAAAAAGGTTAGCCAATTACTGACCTATGATGTTTGGAGAGAGGAGGGGCTTTGACTGCACAAGTGCAGTGGCCATCTTGACTTTTTTTGGCCCTCAAACACTCCTAGCATGAATTCTTCTGCCACTTGGACCATATTATGGCACATCCAGTCTCTTAACAGCAAGCATAATCAAAATATTTATCCTTTTGCTAGATTTCAGTAAGTATTCTACTCCTTAACATGTTCAATTATACACAAAGTGAAATACTGTAGTTTAATTAAATAATAATTAAGTAAAAGGTACTCACCTCAACCTAGCCCTTTCTTCCCCAATCTGATGCTCTCTAGAGGTATTTGAACTTCAGCTTCCATAATTCTCAGAGGGCAAGTTCAACCTATTTGGAAGCACCAAGATTTGGAGGGGCAGATTCCGCCCATGAAAGTCTATCTGATTCCCACATAGAAACTCCTAAGGTGAAACTTTCCACCTGGTTTCTTGCATTCTTTCAAATGCCAATGCAGGTGTCAAGCTTGAAGCATTCTTATGCTATTATCACTTCTCAGTTTGCCAAAGAACCAGGGGAAGAGGGAAGGGTGAGATGAAATGTAGTCTCTAGACATCAAGAAGACGACCCATGAGAACCAAGGACACTTCAGCAGGTGTTTGCCAAACCCAAAGACTTTTTTCTCATAGCAATACAATGACACTCAATTGGACAAAGTGATCTGCATTAATAGGGGAGGGTTAATCCTATAACTTAATTATGTGGGAATTGGTTAGATCTAATTTTGCCCTCATCAGTGCCGAAATGATGTACTCAGTAAAATTTTGCATTCAGAAACTGGATTGTCTCGACTGTGCTTCCTTTGGTTGGGTTCATCAGTCGAAACATTGACAACTGGAACTGAATCTGGAGACTTCTGCTAAAAAGCTGGTGTCCTGTCAATTTATTGTGGTCTTTTGTGGTTTATCTGCTCTTCTCAAGTGGGAAAAGCTGCTGCTCAGGGCAGCCATGCTTAGCTCGTCATGGCAGGAAGACTCCAGAGATTTAAAAGTGTGATGGAGAGAGGAGGGGAGGTCATCCTGTAGACCAGAGTTTCATACTCTCAAGAACTTTAAACCATGTGAATTTCAGCTCCCAGAAGGCTGGTTGGGGAATTCTGGGGTGAAAGTCACACAGTTTATAGGTTTAAGTTGAGAAACACAGCTGTGGACTATGGTGTGACCTCTAGCCTGAGATCAGGTACATCATTGTCACCATAGTCACTAGCAGAGGATGATGTCATCCATTGTGCACTCCTGAATGCAGCTCCAACAGCTTCTGGTCACGGCTGGCTTAGCAGAAGGCAGCAGGTTGTGCATACAGAAAGACCCAGCAAATTTTCTGTCTTCAGATAACAGAGCATGAAAGAGAAGTAGAAGATTTTACCCCTGACCTGGAGGGTGAACAGTCGAGTTCAGAAAAATCCAGTGGTTCTTTGCCTTTTCACATTGAGGAGGGAGGGAGGGATTAGGCCAGCCCCAGTTTCCCTGCCCCAAGCAGAAACTGAGGAGGGCAGCTTTTAGAAATTCAGATTTGGTAATCCATTCAGAAAGACTGGGTCAAGACAGAAACTCAAATAAACAAAACAAACAAACAAAAAGTTGACAAAATTAGCTCAGACAAGCACCCTAGGATTTGAATTTCCTCTTTTGCCTATAGAGCCAGCTGTGACCCCTATATAACCCTTACATCATCCCATGGGAATCTGACAACAGCCAATACCGTGTTTCTCCGAAAATAAGATAGGATCTTATTTTCTTTTGGCCCCTAAAATAAGCGCTTGCC